ACATACAACCACCTTGCGTACACAGCTTGTAACCCTAAGGACAGGGTTGGATATCTTGATAGAAAAGGCATTGTCTACAAAATACCATGTTCCAGTTGTGATGTCGTCTACTGTGGTCAAACTTGGAAATCTGCCTGTACCCGCAGACATGAGCATCAGTTAGCGGCAAGCAGACGAGATAATCTATCTCAGGTGGCTATGTACACACTGGATATTGGACATAAATTTGCATTGGAGAATACCCGTATTGTTGGCGCCTGCCCAATAAGGAAAGGCCGCGAATTCCTGGAGACAATGCACTCAGATGAGACATGCATTAATCGGCATATCGATTTAGATGCCACATACAAATTTCTCAAGGACAAATGGAAGCGAGCGCAGCCGATGCCAAGGGGATGACGAAATACCATTGACGCGCATTGAAGAAGGCTTCGGCCAACCATAGATTCACTTATTCGACACGGCTAAATTGTTAACTGTTTTTGTACATAGTCCAAACATCTGACAACGAGCTGGGGAACCAGACTCGAAAATTTACGCATTACAGGTTATTCTCTACCCAAAGAATCTTATTTATTTTTTACATAGTTCAAAAGTATTATCGTCAAAACTATGGACATGAAATAGTGACGATATGATGCTAGATATTAGTGCCGCATGCACTCGGGAACAAGTGTTACCAGCGAGGATAACAGACGCTGTAAGCTATCTTCAAAATATTACAGCCAGATAACCGCGGGATTGGTAACGAAGGACATAGACATTGCGTGCAATTTCAGCAAAGCAACTGACGATTGAAGAACCAACACCGATGAGAAACGAATAATGTTATCGACGAAGACTAAACGAAGACTTAACGTTCATTCGCTCGGATGCCTGACAAAGAGCAGCGTACGAACTATTATAGGAATAATAAACGCGTACTACGAAAGAACATGCTAAATCCGGCGCCGATTACACATGCAGCCAAACCCTTGTTCAAGCAAATTTTCGTTACGTTACGTGGATTCCACAGACAAGCATGCTTGTACTGCGTTAACCTGACGTTTTTAACCGGGAGACCTCGCGGATTGGGGCGTGGCATGTTGATACCAGTGTAAATGGACATTTCAGTCGTCGTCATGTCATTTTGACGCACATCTCAAATTTTCGCAACTCGTCGAGGTGACGTTGGAATGAGCGCGTAGCGATCACTGACAAACTGAAAGCAAGGGGAGGCTTTGGTACAGCCAACGCTCTAACCACCTGAGTTACGAGGCCCCACCGGGAGACGTGACTTTAATCACATTTGGGTCAAGTCACCCGCCCAACCTACTGCAACGGCTGCAATCCACCAAATCTGATACAGTAAACTGACTTCCAAGCAAGATTTCATAAGTAATTCACCTAGAATCCACCAGATGACTACCAGGCTCACGTAATTCATAGATGGGGTTTCGTAGCTCAGGTGCCTAGAGCGTTGGCTGTACTAAAGCCTTCCTCTCGCTGCCGTGGTTTTGAATCCCACCGAGGCGTCGAGTTCTTCACAGTTGGGTTAAAATGAATTACTCAAAATCTGCCAAAAATTTATGAGCTATTAGACGAAGTAAACATTCATTATTGAATTTCGTTGAGGACGTTCCTCTTCTATTAAGAAGTTAGTATTTGTAAACTACCTACTGTTGAATTAGATATTTCCTTTGAAATCGTTCGTTATTTTTTCAAAGCTGTGGTCCATACGTGTATGCCGGTTTACGAGTCAGTTGCAACCATTCGTATATCTTGCCATTCTTTCTGAGACAGGTCACATATTCTATGTATTAATGAAGATCGAAAATTTTATTTACAAGATAGGCGATAAAAAAAAACGGCAGTTTTCATAAGCTTAACGAGAAAGCAGCTATAATTTCTACACAGTTGCCGAAAACAGCAGTTTTTTTTTCCAAAACCCACTCAAGTAAAACCTGCCATATAATCTCCCCAAGGATATCAAATTGCATCGCGTAACGATCAAAGCACGCTTGGCGACTTCATAACGACTGTCGATTAATGACTTCAGTAATTTTGAGCCTCTAAGAAACACCGTGTGAGACTTTGATAAGATAACCTGCCTTTACACAAACTCGAATCTAAACGAAACGACGACCCATGTTTTCCCCGTCGAGCTGGTCGTCTGAGGTCTACCATGAGAATTTTCGCAATCCTGAGAACTGTCAAAAGCATTATAATTCTCCCTGTGGACAAAGGAGGCTCAACTGTAATTTCGGACAAGGCAAATTACATCGGAAAGATGGTGCCATTGTTAGAAGTCGGGTCAACCTACAAGCCTCGTATCATACACCCTACAAAAGCGCAGATTTCATTCATTGATAAAATGCTTAAGCATTCTACTGGGAAGATGGAAAAGGCCGTAGATACTGTCAAATCCCTAAATCATACAGGACTGGTCATGGTTAAGACCAATGAACTGCCCAGAGTTCCCAAATATTAGGTAGCACTGCGACCGATGGTATCGTTAATCGGTGCACCTAGTTATATGATTACTTAATGCCTATTTCAAAAACACTATCCATTGACACAGGATTGTGAGACTTCGACTGTGAATCTTGTGGGTTTTATGGACAAAATAACAAGGACTCGCAAATGCAGGGATTTGGGTTGACGCAACTTCTGACCTGTTATTGAATGTTGGCAGAAAGTTTAAAAACATTTTAAATTACTTGTTGATTGGTGAAATAATCAATATAAGACCTAAACGTGACTTTACAGACAGTTTGTGCTTGTTTTCTTTGGGCTAGAGATCCCCCCAAAGCCCTCCAAACTTGCAGCTAAAGATACATACTTATGGAAAATAAGTGCGTACCTGAATGGGATAGGCTTTGAAGGTGTAGCCAGACGGCACATACTTCTTTACTGCAGCCGACGCAAAATTGAAATCCCGCCGACCCGGAATCGGAACAACCTCCTGACTATGGGCGTCGTTTTCAAATTCGAAAAGCATTGGCAAAAGCAACTGGCCTAGAGCATCGTCCCAGGGAGTAGCCGTTTCCAGAAAAACCTCGTCGAAACCCGGCCTGGCTCTGAGAAGAAGCTGATGTCGTCGCCATTTCGCAACGCAGTCTTTCAGTTGTGTCTCCAGAAGTCCACTGAGAGCATTTGCATCGACCAGAGGTGGAAGAAGACGCTGAAGGGCCAGAGTGCTGTCCATAGCGAGGAGATCCATAGCCTCCACAGAAAAGGGACGCCATGATTTCGAGTCCTGTGTAAAACATGTTATTTTTTAAAAGGATGGATATAACGACGGAGAGGCAATGTAAGAAGGGCGCATAAAGGTAATAAAACTGGAAACATGTTGACCGAACTCCAGACGGTTGGTAAACGATTCCTCAGTGTCGCACACTTGAGAGCCAGCGCATTGGGCAGAAAGTTTGTTCCCTAGCAGAATGCTTATAAGCTGGTCAATTGGCAAAATGAGACTTCTGAAGACCAGCACAGACCTTTATATCCAAGTGGCTTTCTATGATTTCATAAGTTTCCTTGGAAAACAGCATTTATCTCAGCGAGGTTCTACGTACATAATCTTACTTAATTTGAATATTGATTGTTAGTAAAGTCAGACTGGAGGTATTAGAGTGTGAGTAACCGTATATTTTTAGATAAGAGGGGCGTCTTTGTCTTCGCATAGTTATATATTCTCGACACTGAACCTGAACTGAAAACCACGTCAACTACAGACAGGAGTTGTTTAAAAAATGCTACTTAAATTATGTAAATACCACTTTAATGATGACACTTGTTCAGTAAACGTACGTGGTTGTATATAACATACGGGAATGTAAACAACAGAATTTCCGAAGTCTTTGACTACAACACTAAATATACTGAAATGAAACAAAGCAACGGGGCTAGGGAACACACTTTTGTTCCATCATAATGGTAACTTCTAGGCAAAGAAGAATACCATGGGGATGACCTTCACCGATCGGGTCACAGGACATGCTCGCCCCGTTGCGTCCTGGGGTTCAACAGATACCCCTCGTGGACTGTCACTTAGTGACCACCAATAACACACGAGGAAGTGCCGACAAAACCTAAGGGAGACTGGGATGGACAGATCTGACGTGTTAGTCGTCGACAAGAGTACGAATTCATACTCTAATCATCAAACGTTGCGTCCAACGCAGTACTGCCAATCTACCTTGTTAGAAGTAACCATAATGTTTAAAATCTAACCAATACGTTTGCCTTCAAGTAGTAAGCAATTTAAAAGTGAAGGGAATGCCGCATTAGTGGTTTGAAAAATATTGCAATATTTGCAGTGCTACGCTGCGGTAAATATATAACAGTACAACATGTCATTGAAGACAACAAAGACATTCAAACTGACTCTTAAATAACCTGGGTAGTGGGTAAAAATCAGTCATCGGGAGTCTTTGCAGAAAACGATAGCGCGACTAGTATACCCCCCTCTCTTTTGCAATCAGAATAAATAGGTGCAGGCTACTTCCATGTGACGGAGTAACCTCGACCAGAGGTGAGGTAACTCGTGTTCGTGGTAAAAGCGTTGCTCGATGGTCTGGGGATCCGGATTTCGGACTGTCGTTCAGTAGGTGCACACCGTTGGCTGATGACGCCAACTAACCCGGAAACAGCCGCCATTTCAGACTCATCTCCAACTTTGCCAACAAATGCTTCTCAATTAATAATTGCCAGTCGTCGTGCGACCTCTAAAAGAATAATAGTCATCAACTCAAGGAATTTTGTTAAATATAAAATCCATATTGACCCAGCTGTGAAAACATTGGCGCTTCGGTGGAACTCGAGCCCATGACAGCAAGGGGAAGGCTTTAGTACAGGCAACGCTCTAACCACTTGAGCTACGAGGTCCCGATGGACGACGCGAGTTTAATCACATTTGAGTCAAGTTACCCGCCCATCCTACTGCCACGTATGGAATCCACCAAATCTAATACAGTAAGCTGACTGCCCAAGCAGTATTTCTTAAGCAATCCACCTAGAATTCACTAGATGGCAGGCTGTATTAAAGCCTTTTTCATATTGTCGTGGGTGCGAGTCCCACCGAAGCGCCGAGGTTTTCACAATTGGGTCAATATGGATTTTATAATTACCAATGTTCCTTAAGTTGATGATTATTATTGTTTTAGAAGAACAGTCTGGAAACCTTGTACCCAAAACTCCTTTATTCAAGTTATGCCATAGAAACGCATCCGCTTAAATTCCTTTCAAAATGCAGTAGGGAAATCCGGAACTAGGGCATTTGACCAACCGTATTTATTAGCCGATCCTGGGTGTACATTTCATGCAAACTGTACAAGCGCTTGGAAAATAAAATAATAAGAAGTAAAAATTTAAAAACGCGCAGCTTGACCTCCTAATGAACACAGAAATTCAAGTACAGTGGTCAAGTAAATAAGCCGGCACAAAATAGTTCGGGTTAAGTCCGAATGTTAGCCTGAAATTCATTAGCTACGGCATAATAACCACATGATATCTACATCCTGCAAAGTGGTGGCTACTAGTATGCAACACGGGGAATTTGTCATAGCCATAGTACTGTTTAAAAGTTCAGGCCCACGTTTTGTCGACTTTGGCAGGCTGTACGACGCGGCTACGAGGGCTACGACCCAACTTTCGGATCGAGCCTGAGAAGGCCTGTGAAGAAGAATTTACTCCAAGTTTACACACTTATTTCGGAAGAGATTAACAAAGACGGCATTAAAACCGTAGTGCATACTACTACATGGGGATTCACTGATGAGTCATATACCCTGCAGACGCGTCATATGCAGTTGCTTAGCAACGGTCTTGATAAAGAGGACGTACTCTCTGGCCTACACCACAAAATGCTGGCATAAAAGCCGCAATGCGTTTTCGATAAGAAAAAATTGCTCAAGCAGGAAGGTAATAATGATCATGTTGCTGTATAATCCCAAAATATTTCAGCCACGATAGGGCACGGGCTTTTGAATATGCTTCATTGAGATCGTCTGGAAAAAAATCGCAGTCGGTAAAATACGACTATTGAAGAAGTACGATTCTCCCATTGATTTTCGATGCCTTTATAAATTCCTATATATGAGAAAGTAAAGGCTCTTCGGAAAATTGAGTTGTACTCGTAAATTCCTATATATTTTATTGAAAGTGTGCAGAAAATCATCATTTTTGTTCTCTTTTGGTAGCAAATTACGTCTTTGTCAAACTCTGTCCTTGAGGAAAGGTACCTTACAGTTTGTAGTTAGGAGATGTTTAGAACCGTGATATAGGCGGCACCGTATCTGTCCGTTTATTAACGCTACTCTAGAAGCACACAGTATGGTCCACTTTCATGAAAAATTGCAAGTTCTATATGGAATATGTAGCCTGGAAACCCTACGCGCAAGAGCAACTGCCGACAGAGTTCGAAGTTGGTGCGTATTAATAACTCTTTTGAAGATTGACAGGCAAAGACGAAACGAGTGTAAGAAAGCGCATTTTCTGAATGTCTTTTATAAAATATATTAATACTTATAAGGGCATCGAAAATTAACGGAGGAAATTCCCCTATATAAGTAATCACGTTTGCCGATTGGGGTTTCTGCTGGCGGTCGCCCCAAACACCACTCAGAAGTAAGCATTTCGGCATGCCAGAAATACCTTTAGATCATAATGCTCAATAATCACACTTAAAACATACCTAAGTAAGTCTTTCTTATGAAGAAAGTATCTCAGATTTTCGGCTAACAGGCTAGATACTGCATAATCAAAGGCGTGCGAAACTGTCTTTCGGCAAAGACCAAGCCTTCCTATCTGAAAATTGGACACTCAAAGAGAAGAGAAATCGTAGACAACGTGATGTGTGTGCGAATTGCGGCAAAAAAATCACGTTTTCAGAGCGAATAGGAAACTCCAGGCGCCCGAAGTCATTTTCGTGGCGTCACTTTTTGAAAAGTTGGGACTTTACAAATAACCTCAAAAGTCACACAAATAAAACGGTATTTTTCGCAAAAAGTAACCGCTCGCTAAAATTTTGGCAGAAAAAAGACAATAGATTGCTTTACTTGACAAAAATTTTGAATCCAAAATATTGCTCATGTGAAGAAAACGGGGAGTACGTTATTTAGGTAAGGTCAACGTACAGTTCAATAAAGCAGTCAAAGATTACAAAAACGAATTTCGTCGTAAATTCGCATGGGTCTGCCTAAAGAAGCGGCTGTTTCAGAGTCCAACTGCAACAGTTTCAGAGCATCAACGTCTTACACGGTCAGGAATCACGATGCTAGTTGCAGAGTGTTGCGAAACGCGCTGGGCACTGGTGGATATCATCGCTGTAAGGGACAGGAGGAAGTCGCATGTCGGCAAATTCGGTGGAACACATTTCCGCCTTTCGTGTGCAACAGCGCTACGACTCAGTCTACGGAAAAGTGTCTAGACGTCTGAGAAGTAGGAGGCACGCGCTGTTGGAGGGCTTTAACGGAGGAATCAATGCGCATGAATGCATACATGCCAGTTATCGGCCAAACGTCACAGGAACCTATGTGAGCAAGTCAAAACTCCGCCTTCTTAACGTTTCTTGTTCTTTTCCCAAAATCGCCTACCATGAACCGCGGCCACGCCAAGTTCTCCATGATTTATGACGTGTGAGCACAAGCCTGCCATTTCTAACATAGCTAGGACGTCACTGACGCGAATTTAACAGTAGCAGCAATATCAGAATACACGGTGCATAAAGAAAGGCTTGAAAGTACCCTTAAATTGAGGGAGATGGATGAGACAGATGTCGTAGGTTGGATGTTGGCGTAAAACTCCCGATTGTTGTAAATGCAGTCAATGGTGTCCGAAAGTCCAATTGGCAAATCTGAGGCGGAGGAGGATTTTGAATTGTTGTATTCCCAGGGCACACCAGAGACGTGCCAGAGACGACCTCCAGATACTGAATCGAATATTACCACCTCCTCCTTCTGGAAATCCTAGAAACCAAACATACAGACCTACGTCAGCATGCCAAGTTCATTTCGAAAACACAACTCTGAAAATACTGTAATATACTCATTCCGGTGCATTTCAACAATGGCTCCCAAATATTCCCAAAATGCAGAGTTTTGAACCATATTGGAAAAAGGAGTTGATGGTTAGGCTAATATAGCTCTTATTTGTTTTGAAATACCATGAGGACCAGTGAGTAATTAATCATACAGGATTTTTTCCCATAAAATTTGGAAAGGACTAATTTGCCAGTACGTCAAGCATTTTATGCATATGTTGGGAATCAAAACATACGAACTATACAACTTTGCTACTATTTTTCTTAAAGTAGAAACCTCCCCTGCGATTTCTGAAACAGTTGAACAGAAACCTATCAAATTTTAACGGCGACCGCATGTTAAGGTTTTGCTTACCGCATACCATACGGAGTTACATTATATCGTATTGAGTTCTTGAATATATGATCACGAACTTTAGAATTTAGGCAAGACAGAAGTTCGACATTCGGAGAATCTTCTTGTGTAAGCAGAAAAGCGTATATTCGAGGAAAACATACTGGAACGTTTGGTTTCCGGTTACATGGTAAAAAAGTGAATCCCGGAATTTTCGCATAAGAAAGGCCATTTGTTCTCACCCCTGCCTAGCCAGGCCGGTATGTGCTCACATACTCTCTTTTCCAGGTCCCTCGTTGTACAGTCAATGTATCCTGCTCCCAATTTCGAGTTCTATTATCGCACATCTTGTCGATACCTAACACCGCATCGATGTCAAAGAAGCCTTTCAAGTTGTCTACCGGACACCAGCAAGCTTCTCCAGAGGCCTACGCCAACGGGTGCTAGCTACAGAAGCGGCAGTGGCTATACGGCTAGCCAATCCAGTGCTATGTTGTCAGAAGACATAGACACAGGCGCTGTGTCTTCCGTGGCCAACGCCGACCCCAGATAATGATTGCACACCGTCCCAACCTCCTGATGGCAGTGATGTGCGCTCAATGCATCGCTCGCAGCCTATGTCACCCCTCCCCTTCGCCTCCTTGACTAAATGACCAAAACCCGCCGATCTTGCTATGCGGGTGCGTGGGAACGATGAGTGTCAATAGCCCCTGCGAACTTCGCATATTTCCGACTTTTATGTAACTGTTTTGGCCTGATAACGAGTTACCGAAAACACGTGTTTGCCAAATTGACTTTTCAATTGTAACATGGGGATATTCGCAGAACCTAAAAACACACAATAACAGAGTATATAAAGAGTAATATTTACAGAAAAATGAAGGTTTGTCGTACATCAAAAACTATGACCCAGGCATAGTAAGGCGGTTTATCGGCGTCCTGCGGAGGTCCGGTTTTGGCATGGAAACAGCGATTTTCGGCCTTAATGCCAATGGCGACGTATGCAGCAAGTCCAAAGCCCAGTAGAATCGAGCAGAGAAGATTGGCATGATCAGCCACACTGCCGCGGTTCCTTGAAATTAACGAAAGACCTGGAAATGGAGGCAAAAGACCCAAGGAGGCGAGTGAAAATGACAAAAAATTGCGTGTAATTGCTCAAATAGCTTTACGCGAAATGAAATGCCTGAAAGTAAAAAAAATAATACCGATAAGCTTAGAGAAAACTGTAAACAATCGCTTGAACAGAATTAAGACGAAGTCGGTTTGGTCGAATCACCTCCACATTTCATTGCTGCAATGTTTGACAAATCACTAAAACTCAATACAGCAATGAACGGTGGCAGCATACTTGATATTATTAGCCAGCATACTGATACGAATTCAAGTCTGACGTAGAAATAACGATGTGGGCTATGTAGCGGATTAGAACACAACGCTGAAGAGGATTTACCTAGAAATACGGCAGCGTTTATCTAAGGATAACAGCTTAGCGGTGGTTGCCGGCGATGTCCACCGTGTGCTCCATAGCAAAATGGTGACTTTTACGTAGATATATTTATAGTGGTAGTGGACTTGTACAACACCTACCGCAATCTCTTCCCCTCCCCCGCCTGGGCACGGTGTCAAGACGTACTTAAGAAGACCGAAGGCGGAGGGGGGTGGGTGGTTGGTACGGCTGGACGCGAACTAAGGCGAACCCAATAAGAGACCGTCGCAGGCTTTGGCACGCCGTAGTGTAATGACGAGCCTCATGACGGTCCTGCGTTGTTCAGTCTTGCCGCTTGCCTCGTATTATAGCCCTGCTCGACGCACGAACTTTGACCTGCCTGTTTGCCGCTGACTGGCTTAGACCTCCCCGGGGCTGACCGCTGACAGGTCTGCGTGACCTTTGTTCCCATTGGGGTTGGCGTAATTGTGGTCAAATCAACGTGCGATTGGCCTTTCCCACGTCAGCCGGTGGACTGATCGGTCGTTGTTTTTAGATGAGCGGCATTCATCTTCGCGGACGCGTCGGTGAGACAGTGATTGGCTTCGGTCACACGACCTCTGGCCGTCAACTCCGCTCTTTTCCGTGAGCGTTGACTCTCGGTCCCGCGTGCTCGCTTGCCTTACTGGTCCTGTCCGGACTGGTCCGAGCCTTGTAAGCAGTGCCTGGTAGGCGGGATGTAGATCTATAGCTCGGTTGAGTGTGTCAGTCGAGGACCAACATTGGAGCACCAGTCTGACCATCTTCTCTTTGGCTAGACCAATTACCCTCGCTTTCTCAAAGGAAAAATCGTGGTTCAGTTCGCGTATGTGGCCATAGACCACAGACAGCTTGTCCTTGCGGGGGATCACAAGTTGGTTTTCGTGCAATCTTGTACCGAGGCGTTTGCCCGTTTCAGCAACATGCCTCGTATTGCAATTTAGGCATGGTATGCTGTAGACCACCGGCGACTGTTCTGTTATTGGTAGCGGCTCTTTAGGCTTCATGATTTGCTGTATGATGGTGCATTCTGGTTTATAAGCCGCGTCAATCCCAAAAGGTTTCAGGATTCTCAGCGTTGCCTCTAATACGTTCTTCAGATAGGGTATTGACAGCCAGAACATGCGATTTTCTCAACTCGACCGCTCAAAATGAGGGTTTTTGAGGAAATTGCGTATGAAGGACTTCGGGTAGTCGTTGGCTTTAAAAAAGGGCCTGTAAGTAATTCATCTCCTCCTTCCTCCCATTGTCGTCGCTACAGTGTGTTTGAACACGTTGAAAGAGAGTTCTGATGCAACTGCCTTTATGACCGCCAGGGTGGTTGCTTTTTCTTCGTCTTCTTCGGGAGATGATGAATGCGATACAATGCCTGTACCTCGAATCCTTACGCATATACATATATTTTCATATATATAGTGCTACACTTAATCGCCGAAGAATGATTGGCACAAAATAGCAGAGCTTCCCTCACAGTAGATAAGACAAGAATTATTAAAACAGAGGACAAGTTGAGAGTGGTTCGATGTGTAAGAACAATACTTTCAGGCAGTAGGCGGCAGAGCCACTCAGACCCAAATAGATGCATTATGGCATGGTTAGACTAGCAGACATGAAAATGTGCATCCAGCAGCTGTTCCAATACCCTTTTAACAGCCGAACCGCTCCGTATGAGCTGACCATGGTGTTAAGTAACCTTATGCCGTTCGTACGGCCGATTTTCCAATCATCACGGCGCAGTGGACGCCGAAAATATCGCAGTAGTCAGTAGAAATCCCCTAAGTCGTATCGGTGGAGTTTATGACAACACGCTGGGCGGGCATCAGGATCGTCCTGCGACCAGCGTGCCCCCTCTGACAGCGCCATGTAAAGAACACTCACTAATGCGAAACGCAAACGGGCCTACCTGTACACCAAATGTCCTGATGGGCTGCGCCGACTGTAGACCACTGGCTGGAGGGAATGCAAGCAACAAAGCGCACTGCTCGACCAACCGTTCCAAGGCATCGTTCGTCAGACAGCGGGTGAACGAAGCGAGAGACAAACCTGAATTGGAAGTCAAGACGGTCTTTAGTTAGCATGAAATAACAGGTCCGAGAAAAAGAAACTGGCGACTGATTAACGTAACTCGCATGCAAGCCAGACGTCTGCAAGTTGCTTAAACTAACAGCAGGGGCAAAGTGTACAATGCTTCAGACAAGCATAATCGATTTTCTTCTGTGGTTTGTCTGATCTGGAACCGGGGGGTACTCGTTTTTCCGATATCGGGAACGACCGGATCCTCAGAACATGCTTAGTTTAGTGCCGATTTAATTTAAAGAGATCTAGAGGGAAAAGAGCTAAGGAAAGGATGCGTTCCGAGCCAACTTGATTCGTGAATACTGGAAGACATGACCAAATTTCCAGTGACGAAATCGTTTGATCGCTTCTCTGGTACGCATAGTAAACGAAAATTAATCAACCTGTGGCTTGTTAGCTCAGCCACATGTGCGGGCGGAATGTTGGAGAGCAGAAACAGGCCGTCGGCAGCATCGTCCATTTACTCTCCTTTATTTGGACTACCAAACCCGTAAATTGGATCGGTAGTTATCCGGGATCCGAATTAATGGCAAAAATTCTGAGAGGTTAGCGTGCAGTGTGCACAAGCAAGCGGGCGGTCTGATGATTAAGAGTTA